CAATAAAATATTCAGCATTAAAATGTTTATAATCCCTAACTTCTTTCACATTAGGTTTAAGTTTTGGAAGGGTGAACTTCCTGACCACATAAATCAAAGAGGAAGAAAAGGATAGCATGAAAACGGAATAGGAAACTTATCCCATTTTGGGGCATGTTTTAAATTTTCATATTTTCAGAAAAAAATATGAAAAAAGAGAATATCGTGATTCGTGAAATAGTTTAATATCGTACACCACTCAATTGTCCGTTGACCATTTTAATCACGCCATCCGAAAGAACAAACGTGTAACAGATGATGTTGGCAGTCGTTGCTTTTTTCGTGATTTCGATGAGTATTCCAGATTGCGTATTTTGAATTTTCACTCCGTTTCCGTACGTTTTAGCATCGTTCGCCGTACGCAAGTCGATGACCAGTGCGAATTTTTTATCTTTGTAAAATTTAATCAGGGATTGTTGTCCATTAACGTCGGTTCCAAAAAGACGTTTGGCTTCTTCGTACATCCTCGTCTTCGTCATCCCCTGACTGTACACGACGTTCGGAAAACCTTCGATCGTCACCTTAACTTTATCGATATTCGGGAAGATATATTCTTCGCTATTGGTCGGTGTTTTTTCCGTAAAAAGCATGACGATGGCTTTCATACTACGTCGTGGAAGATTGATAGTTTCGTTAACGATCGTCAGACTTTTATCCCATTCGCTCTTTTTCATCAACGTTGCATGTTCGAAAGATAACTCGCGTTCGGCTCCATATAGATTTTCAGATTTTCGTGCGAGATTGATATTTTCGATACTTTCGTATTCCAATTCTAAATTTTCCAAAGAATAACCATCGACGGTTTCACCACTTTGTGCGTTCATAATTTCGGAAGCTTGTGGTAACGTGATCACGTATTGAAGATCGTTGACAGAATGGTACGGAGCGTACAATCCATGATCGCCTAGAATCTTCATATTTTTTAATCGTTGTTTCGTCCCGAAAATTCCAAAAAGTGCAGTCGCATCGGCATCGACATTCACTTCGTCATCTTTGGAGATTTTCTTACGAACGGCTTCGGTCGTAATTCCATCTTGTATCATATCCGCTCGTTGTTTTTCATCCATCCACAAGTCTTTGTAAATTTCCAGTAGACTTTCACCGCTGTTATCGTAAACTTTTTCACCGGCAAGACGAATCTCTAATCTTTTTTGTAATAATTTTCCTAAGTTATTCCGGAACCATGATTTTTCATTCGCATTTTTAAAGTCGAAGATTAATGCCATACTATCGGGAACGAGAACAGAATCCGGTTTGAGTTTAGGAATATTCACATAGATTTCCTCGCCGGGTTTTGCCGAATTCGGATTGAACGTGATCAAATGTCTCGTTCGGTTTCCCGTTAATTCCGTCCTGGATCGACGGCTAAAACTAGGATTAAGTTCTTGCGTACGTGTTTCCATTCTTTTATTTCATGGAAATAAAAAAAAATTATTTTTTCTTTAAATAATTGTACAAGTATCCTGCGATCAGGATGGCAAGAATCCATAGATTTTTCGCAAGAAATTCTATTCCTTTCGCACCCCATTTAAGAATAGTAGCTAACATATTCAAGATGGGAATGAAAATGGGAAGTGCGGCTTTCGCAAGCTTACCAAATGCTTTTCCAACTTCACCCACACCTTTCGCAGCACCGACCAACGTCTTTTTTCCGGCGACAACGACAGTCGTAATAATCCCCGCGATGGAAATAGCAATCGCAGATAAAACACCTAAATTTTCTTTGGCCCAGAGTTTAAATTTTTCAAATCTCGTCCGTGTATCGTCGCGAACTTTTTCACGAATCCGATGCACGCCTTCTTCGGATTCGGGACGTTCCCACATTTCTAATTTCGCATCGTCGATATTTTGATCGATGATCTTTAACGCTTCGCGAAAAATATCTTGACGTTCGGGATCGGAATCGGTTTCAAAATCTGTTTTGAGTTTTTGACGTTCTATTTTTAAATATTTGATCCGTTCGTTAGGTTCACCTTTGGGAACAGTAATTCCAACCAATTCCCTGGCTTCTTGTTCGGTGAATTTCCCATCGCGATGAAATTGTAAGACGCGATCGTGAAATTCAAGATTATCGTCGATATTTTCATTGTGAATTTCATCACGCACGTCGTTAGAAATATCATTGAGGATCGATGGATTTCCATCTGGAATTTGTTCTTCCGTGATACTGACGAATTTATTTTGATGTTCTTCCGTCGCTTTTTCGAACGTGGTTCTAAAATCTTTTAGACTCTGAACGTTGGATGTATTTTTGGATAAGAAGTATTTCCCATTTCTATCGATGAAAGCTACTTTAACATCGTCGAACGTTAACCAATATCCGTCAACATCCAGTCGTGAAAATAAATCTTTGGAATTTAATCCGTCGTTCGGGTTTAATTGATAGTCGTTCCCAAAAAGGTTTTTTCACATATTCAGATTTCAGACCGGAGGATGATCCGGTCGTATACAATGAATTAGTTTCCCTCTTTCTTTTTGTGGACTTATCATTTTCATTTTGTTTTTTAAAATCCGACAGCCATTTTTCATCGTCCTGTCTTTCCAGATCGTCCAATGCCGTTTCGTAAAAGTTGTCCAAATTAGTTTCGTCATTTTCTCCCCACGGATCCCAGTCATAATTCTGTCCGATCTCATCGAGTTCGATATTTTCGGCCATAGTTTATTTACCACTTAGATCCAACGATAATTCATGTTCGTAAAATCTTCCTTGAATTTCACGATCGTCATCGTCGGGATCGATAAGTTTATACATGGTGGGATCACCACGAAACACTTCCGACACGACGTAAACATCGTCGGTATAATTCGGCGTGTATCCCTTTACAAAAGTGTCGCGATAGATTTGGTCTCGGACACGATCTCCAACTTTAAATTTTGGGTTTGGAAAATGAGATAACGGATAACCGTAAAGTTTTGTCCAGACTTTATCTTTATTGGTTTCGTTGACGTCGGCAGGTTTCATATGGATCGTACGATGTTTCGAATGATTGTACGAAGCAACAAGATTATCCAAAACGTCGATCCATTTTTTAGACTTGGTCGTAAATTGTTGTTCGGTGAAATATTTCCACATTCTTGTTTTTAACGTCCTGTTAAATCTTTCGACGACCGCTGCTTTTTTTCCAGTCAGTCGCGTCGAAAAATAATGAATGTCGTGTTTCTCCAATAACCCCTTGACCCCATTATTGTAAAATTCTTTCCAGCTTCAGTAGTATTAGACCGCCTGTATAGCGGCGGAAGTAATTAGTATGCAGGGTAGATAAGGCAGCCGGAAGTGATTAGTATGCAGGGCAATTAGACCGCGGAAGTAATTAGTATGCAGGAGCGGATAGAGCGGCGGAAGTAATTAGTATGTAGGAGCGAATAGGGTGGCGGAAGTAATTAGTATGGATCAAAACATGGCGGCGATCAGTGTTAAGCAGAAGTGACGTCTAGGGAGTTTCCATGCCAGTGCTTTATCACATAATTGTAAAGGTATTGTGTTTGTATTTATATACGTTACACATCTTACCTCCAAGGCTTGTGGGACACTGCAATAGCACATGCGCAGTAATAATATTATAGTATGGTGTACGTACACCAACTACGTCATAATCATATCCATCTCTGATTGGTTGCTGTGTTTGGTGTGGGAATATAAATTGAAGATGTGGGTACTGCTCGGCATAGTGTTCACACAGCTTTCGTAGAGAACTTAACAAGACTAAATGATGATGGAGTGTTTACATGGACAACCAGCTTCTTGTTCAACTACGAAAAAAGGTTCTTTCTGGTTTTGTGGACAGAAGCCAAGTTGTGGATTTCTATGCACAGAAAACGAAGGTTATGTATATCAAATGGCTTTGGCAGCTTGGAGAGCCATCGATTTAAAACAGCCGATATGCGAAAGCCACCACAAGCCCGCAAAGTTTCGTGTAGTTAAAGACATACAGAAAGAGAGCTATGGCAGACCGTACTTTACGTGTGCAGAACGTGAAAACCCGTGTTCCCTCTGGATGTGGGCTGATGAGAAGCAAGTGGAGAAACCAAACTGTCATCACGGACAACCGTGTGTCATGAAAAAAGTGAAAAAAGAAGGACCTAACACCGGTCGAAAGTTCTTTTGCTGCTGTAACGAAAACCAGTGTGATTATTTTGAATGGAGTCCTGAGGAATTGCCAAAACAGCTTGACACCATGGCGCCTTTCGTACCACTGTTTTACAATCGTTATTACCCAGATGCTCAGCAGAACTGAAACATTTATATAAACATTTAACGTATAATTAAAGAGCTTTGTATTACCATATTTATGAATATATATATTTGAAACGTTTTACACTGTGTGTTCATTGACTGTTGCAATAGGGCCGGTACCAGACGAGTTTCGGGAAAATGATGTTGACATGAGAACATTATCCCATCATGTCAAATATTTGTTTGAGCATCACGGAGCGTTGTACAGTCAAATGGTATTGAATGTTAATGCTAATGAGACTCGCATAAATTGACACGGCATAGTTCTTAAACTATTTATTTTTTAAGGTACAATAATTATTTACACAAATAAACAGTTCTTAAACATATTGTCCGGCTTTTACAGTGTTCTCCAGTTTAGATCGTCCATCCTCCGTTTAGTAGTTCTGTCCTTTAATGCTCTGTGGGCTTAACAAAGTTTAACATCCATAACTTTGAATGCACATCATTTCTTGTTCGCAGGCAACAATAGTACTTTCTCGTACTCGAGTAAATAAACTAAAATGCCAACCATTTCTTGTGGTCCTCCGATTTAGATTTTCGTTTACTATTGTCTTTATGCTTTAATCTTGCATTTTGTAAGTAAACGTTAAAATTTCTCTCCATCTCCTCTTGTCGCTCTAGTAAATTTTCCAGACTCTTTTCTACGTTGAATTCTTTTGGCTCTTCACTCTGTCGAGGTACACAGATTCCTATTTTACTCCACTTCAACCATTTCTTGCGTTCCTCTGTGTTCATATCATGTACTTGATCGAGATGATTTGCTAACCTTGCAAGATTTGTACTACCACAACCAAATACAGGGCAGTCCCTACGCGTGCGACCCATGTTTGCTCAACGAATTCCTATCAATAATTAGCTCATTTTTTCGAGTTCCGGATATTATATTTGGCCCGATTAGGCCCGGAATGGCACTTTTTGGCCCGATTAGGCCCGATGGCCCGATTGCTGACTGGGCGTTCTAACCCAGGCAGGACAGCCACCGTTATTGTTTGGGTGCTATGACGTCACGGCAAAAACTAACAATATTTTTGCTCTAAACATATATACATTTTCGTGTTCGCCATACCCCCTTTTCCCCCTTTTGAATTTGAGATCTGTTGCATATAAATAAATTGTTTCACTTGTTGTATTCATTTGTTGTTTTGTTGCGATGGAAGTGATACTAGACGAATTGCAAGCGCGGGGCGTTGATATTGACATGAGAACATTATCTCATACTATTAATGATTTGCTTGAGCGCCACGAGGCGTTGTACAATCAAATGGTAGTGAATTTTAATCCTAATGAAATGCATGTTGTTTTTAACACGATCAACGTGACTAATTTTGGCCGTGCTATGGCCTATTTGACATTAGTTTATTTGATGCACAGTTCCGAGGATACAACGCGGAGGGCTGTTCGTTTGGTTGCGGCCCCTCTGAGAAGCTTTGACTTTAGTGCATATCGAATTGAAGAAGAGAGTATTTTCCGTAGAATGATCAGACAGGTGTTTAAGATATAAAACGAACGGACACATCAAATCATAACGCAGTGCGTGTTGTGCACGTGAACACAATGGACGTGAGATTTAAAACACCAGCAATTTTTTATATTTGT